TTTTTTTTTTCTGTATGTAAAACCTTTGATTTTTGTTATTAAAGAGCTGATTGCCAGGATTTTCTCTATTTTCTTTTTATTTTACTTACTTATTTTTTAAATAATCTCTACACCCAGTGTGAGACTTAAACTCACAGTCCTGAGATGAAGAGTTGCACACTCCACTGACTGAGCCAACCAGGCACCCCAGGATTTTCTCTGTTTTCTGACACTGAATGGAAATCATGTATATTATCCACACAGGGTCACTCATAGAAGTAGCTAACTTTTTGAGCATTCAGTATGCCAAGCACCATGCTAAACCTTTCATATTAATTAAATGCACTTAATCTTTAAGGAATTTTTTTTACCTCACATTTTAATTTTTTTAAGTTTTTGTTTTAATTCTAGTTAGTTAACATACAGTGTTGTATTAGTTTCAGATATACAATATAGTAATTCACCACTTCCATACATCACCCTGTGCTCATCACAACTAGTGTACTCCTTAATCCCCATCACCTATTTAACCTATCCCCTTAGCCCCTCCCCTCTGGTAACCATCAGTTTGTTTTCTATAATTAATCTTTAAGGAATTTTTCAAAAATTAAGATCTATTTCACCTCCCAGAATTAACAATTCACTGGGTTGTAGTATATTCACAAAATTGTGCCAACTGTCATCACTTTAATTCCAGAACATTTTCATCACCCTAGGAAATTTGCAAGCCTTTTATCGCTTTTATCTCTTTAGCCTCTGGGAATCACTAACCTTTTTCTGTCTCCATGGATTTACCTATTCTGGACATTGCATATGAATAGAATCATACAGTATGTGACCTTTTGTGTCTGGTTTCTTTTACTTGAGCATAATGTTTTTAGATTTGACCCATGTTATGGCATGAATCGGTTCTTTGTTCTTTTTTATTGCTGAATAATATTCCATTTTGTGGATATGCCATAACTATTCATTAGTTGATGGACATTTATGTTATTTCCACTTCTTGTCTATCAGTAATGTTTATATAAACATTTATGTGCAGGTTTTTGTGTGAACATAGGTTTTTGGTTCTCTTGGCTGGATGTGTAGGGGCAGAATTGCTGGGTCATATAGTGACTCTATGTTTAACGTTTTGAGGAACTGCCTTACTGTTGAAGTAATATTTTGAAGAAATGTTTTCATTGCCTCTTAGTGTCTTCCATCTGAAATTGAAGTGAAATACAAAATGGCTGAATGTTATACAATGCTAAAACAAGATAAGGATGCCATTGCTATTCTTGATGGGATCCCTTCAAGACAAAGAACTCCCAAAGTAAGTTGAATTGACAATTTGGTATATATTCTTCTCCTACCCAGTCCTTCCAACCCATTTCCTCCATGTTTTCTCCATGCATTAGGGAGTCCATCTGAATATTTTACTCTTGACTCACTTTGTTCCCCTGAAAATGGAGTAGATGAGGTTCAGAGAGATAGAAGAATTACTTTCTTATGAAACTCTGAAAATTCGTCTGATGAAAATGGTAGCTGGAGAATATTACAAGTGCTCATATTTTGGTATTTCTTACCAATGGAAATAATTTGTAAACGCTTCCAGGTGGCAGCAGTACTTTTTTAAGAATCTCATGTTTTGCATTCTATAGGTGTCCCCATTTGATTATATGAATGAGTTTATTAATCCCTTTGGTTTCAAGATCCAGGACTACAAGATCTTTATTTGTGTGTGAGATACATATTTGTGTTTGAATTGGTAACATATCAGTAGAACACCTTCAACTGAAATCAAAAGATCTTGTCTGAGTTTAGGGCATACAAGCTGTGAAGTGTGTAGTATGAACTTGGGCAAGTTACCAATTTGAACTTTACTTTTTTTTTCTTATTTATAAAATGAGGTTAATAATACTTTGCTAACTTTAAGTTCCTTTATGAAAGAATACTTTTTAAAGTACTATACTGTAAGGAGTATTATATTGGGCATCTTTGATTACCGGTTTTTTTTGAAGTCCAGTTTAGAGGAACAGTGAGAATCTTTGCTTTTAGTATTGAATTCACATCAGTGGTTAATATTCTACCATGTATTCTCATGTCACCTGCCTTCCTCACTTCACTGAAGAACTGTTCTGTGCACCTTGTGCTTAATGATAAGGAATTTTATATGTAAGATGCCTGTGTACTTCCTCCTGCCCTTAGGAAAGGAATCTAAGCGGTGGTGTAGTGTTTTTTCTCCTAAGTGTCGGCTGAGTTTTAAAAGTAACCAATCAAACTTGATTAGAACATGTGTAAGCATCTCCTCATTGAAGATTTATGTATTATTTTCTGAGTTTTTTAAAACTAAGCGATTTTCCCAGTTTATTTTACGGTACTGGCTGCTATTAAAAATATTTGGAAACATGTTTTAGAATAACCTGTCTCATAATAAGCTTGGATACTATATGCTGAATTTTTTTCTGATATCCTATGAAAGTCTTAACCCCAAGGATAATTTTTTTAGCCTATGTGAGGAGTGTCTTTCTTTTGGAAGATGCCATTTTGATTATAAACTTTGAATGATACCTGTTCCTTACCTTATTGGAAATGTACCATAATTTCCTCCTTAATGACTTGAGGGTGGGGACATTTTTTGAAAATGAGTAATGGCAAATAAGCTCAGCTTTGTGGTATCTAACACTTTGGTATTTAAAGCCACCATTTTAAGAGGGACTAAAGGAATCCACATTTGTTAGGAGTACATATCCTTCATTCTGTAGAGCTGTTGTAGCCAGGAACAAGCAAAGATGTATGCCTCAAACATAAACCTATAATATTTACAGTTTTTCTTTCTTGTCCGTTAGGGAGTTAACTGGCTTCTCAGTCTGTGTAAAGGACAAGGAAGTGAGTCAAAATACGTCTAAATGAACGTCTGTTAATGTATGGTAAACACCACCACACATTTCTTCACTTTTTAAAGGAAAATTCCAGTGTGAGATTATTATATCTTGGTAAATCTTCAACTTTTAAAAGTAAACATATCAACATACAATTTCTCACTCAGTTTTTAGAAAATGATGACTGCTTGTGTTTATGGCGTGTGGCTTTGTGATGTTCCCAAGTAAGGATCTGCTTTAAAAAGGATTGACTTTCTCATAGGTAGTACTCAAAACTCATTCCTTTGAAGTGACAGGTAGTTTAAAGGGAATTTTAATATTTGTTGAGACAGATGATGTGTGGGTCATAGTTTGTTAATAACAAGCAGTCAAGAAAGGATCTTAAATTTAACCTTTTATTCTTTTCAAGTACTGACACCAATACTGGAGTTTTCCTTTAAGTATTTTCTTTTGCATTTTCAACATAGCCTAAAATGGAAAAGCTGAGGCCAAATAAAGTTTTATTTCTGGTATTTCATTATTTCATTGTTTGAATCATCAGTATGGATTAATGCCATACTAGATTGTTTTATATACTGTAAGTCATAATTGGAACAGATGTTCTTCATCTTCAGAGCCACTCTTTTGAGTAAATATCTGGCATACCAGGCTACAAATAACTGAAGAGATTGGGGATTGGCTTTTTTTCTTTTGTGTGTTCATGTTGACTGCTTCCTTAGGTTAATGACCTGGCAAAAATTGCTGTGTTTAAGATCTGTTAATTTCAAATTGGAATGTTCTCTTTTTCTCCCTGTAGTATTAAGATCATTTACTTTCCCTGTAACTTCTACATTCTTTGGAACTTTTAGGTTTTCTCAAATTTTCCTTGTTGCATTTTTAGGGTTATTTTAATAGAGCTTTACTGAGTTACATATTTGAATTGTGCTAAAAATGCATTTATTGGATTTAAGTGATGTAGCTAACCTTTGGATCATTGTCACTTCTAGAAGTCAGTCAGAGTTTGACTTCTGTAGCATTACTTGGAAGAGTCAGATAGTCAGATAGGTCCAAGCTTTAAGCGTGAGAAAGGCAACAGTCTAGCTTCTAGAATAATTATCAGAAGCCAAGTATGTAACTCTGTATCTGTCATTTCCTTTTTGGGGAAAATTCATCTGGTCTTTCTTAACAAGCTGTGTTAAGAATTCCTCTCTTTCTTATGCCTCAATATAATTGCATTTAAAGTATGTAAACTTGAGCACTTCTAGGTAGTTCATCTTCTAAAGATCAAGAAAGAATCAAGGTAATTAGATTTCTGTAACATTTCTCAAATATATATTACTCCTATTTCCAGGGGCAGTATCTTTGGTCTAGATATTACTGGACCTTTTGTTTGGGTAAGTGAGAGGAATTTGACTTTCCTCTTAGAAATGGGAGGACCTAGGAAAAGCAAAGGTAGTAATTTCCTCTTTGGTTTAAAGAATGGAATTGGTCTTTGTTTATTTCCACTGAGCTATGGGTAGATTTTCCAGTAAAAAGTAGAATAGTAGCTGGTAATAAAAAATCAGGACTTAATTGGTGGTGAGATACTTTCTTTGCAATGTACGCTTATCTTACTGTCTTGTGTTTTTGTTTGTTACAGATAAACATGATGCTGGCAAATCTATACAAGAAGGCTGGTCAGGAGCGCCCTTCAGTCACCAGCTATAAGGAAGTGCTGAGGCAGTGCCCATTAGCCCTCGATGCCATTCTAGGTACAGATTATTCTCAGTTTATTTCTATGTAGTGTTTACTCTCTGAGATGTTCTCAGTCTTGGCTATACATTAGAATTTTCCCGTGCCTAACTTCCAGAGAGTGATCCAGTAGATTATTATTGTCATGTATTTTTCACACATCAAGAAATTTAAATTTAAATTGATTTCACACAGTCAAGAATATTAAATTATGGTTGTTTTGCCATCTGCATCTTGCTCAGAATAGGGAAAGGGCACCTTGTAGTCCATGGAAAGGGTAACTTATTGCTTCTTGCATTGCAGAAGAGGAGAGCTGTGCCTCACTTTATTTCTCCTGTTTTCTGTTGGATTAGGTTTGCTGTCCCTTTCTGTAAAAGGCGCAGAGGTGGCATCGATGACAATGAATGTGATCCAGACTGTGCCTAACTTGGATTGGCTCTCTGTGTGGATCAAAGCATATGCTTTTGTGCACACTGGTGACAACTCGAGAGCAATCAATACCATCTGGTGAGAGACACAAAGTTAATTCAGTTTTCTTGAGGCCCTTTGCTTGTATGGAGATCTGATGTATCTAAATTAGCAAAATAGAAATAGGAGATGCTTATCTCTTGGTGTCGTAGCCTATTGTCTTTAGGCTTTCTTAGTCTCTTAATGTACTTAATGGTCCTAAGAGTAAGAATCCCTGCTGTGAGGACCTGTTAAATGTAAACTTTGACAAAGTTCAGCTCTGTATTTGCAAAAGTGGTAACCCTTGTAAAGCAGATTGTCTTAGTGTGTCATGCTTGAACCTGGATGAACATCGTCTTTGGACATCCCAGGAGCATAAATTGCAACATCTGACCTGGGTTGTTTCTGTAGAACTGGGATTTTCTTTCTACTCAAGTAAAGTCCTGGGACAAGAGACTGGGTCTTGTGTTATATGAAGTAATTTGGTTGAGTAGTAAGTAGCAGTCACTTGTGAATGACATTACATTTAACACCATGTTGTCCTCTGAAAACCTACAACCAAAAAGTTCTTTCTAGGTAATGAGAGATTTCTGTTCATTCTGAATATTGGCTTTCTTACCCTATGTAATATTCTTTAAATCATAAACTCAGAATGAGAAAATATAGTGAATATGGTTTGTTTTAAAAGTTTTTATTATGAAATATATATACACAAAAGAGAATAGTACCTATATTGCCTGTCACCCAGATTCAGCAACTAAGAGGATTCATAATAGATGTTAAGGGTCAATGTTTAATATCTTGAAGTTCACTAGAGAAAAAGTCCTTATTGCGAGATAACGTGGACCTGCTGGGAAGCTTAGCAGATCTGTACTTCAGAGCTGGAGACAATAAAAACTCTGTCCTCAAGTTTGAACAGGCACAGATGTTGGATCCTTATCTGATAAAAGGTAAGTAATTCTTGAGGCAGGGTGAAAGTACCTGTAGAGGGGAGGATCAGGAAAGAAAGGGAGAAAATATAGCATGATCTTCTGATACTAGTTTTCATATAAATATTTTGTGGAACTTATTACAGTAGCCTTTTACCTTTTTAGAGGTCCTGACACATGTCTGTAACACTTGAGTAATTCCATTTTGAGCAGTTGTTTTTGCTTGAATTCAAGTGTCTCCAGACAGATCATTATTTGGCTCTTTTTCTTTTGGGAGAGGTGATATCCCTTCCTTATGATTTGTAAATTTATGTATGGTGTGCCTGACTGGGAATTTGGATGGCATCCCCAAAACCGTAATATCCTTTTAGGGAATGTAGCTTCACTGTGTCCTTATTATAGTTAAAAGGCAGTAAGTGAATAGACATTAAGAAAGGGATGAGATGATTGAAGGAAGTGATTAGGAATGAACAACAAAAAAATCATTGATCTGAAAGATTATAGCTGAAGGAGTGAGCCATAGGGACTTCCAAAGGGTGAGTGTCCAGTGACTGGCAGCAAGTGATGGGTAGTGGGAAATAATGTCTGATAGATAGGCTGAAATCTGCTTGTAAAGTCCCAAAAGAGGCCATCAGAAAAATAATGACCTGGTGACAATAGTTAGTTCTGTAGACTCTTAAGCCATGAAAACAACAGAGCAGGGAGATGAGGAAACAGATCCAGAAAGATGAATTCATTTGCCTAAGGTCTCCCTCCTGTCCAGTGCTTATTTCTCTCCTCAGAGCTGCCTGTGCCCATGATGAAAATGGTGTGTTAGAAATACTAGTCTGGCATTAGTTGACAGCTTGGAGTTGAAACCTCAGGCCCGAGTTTGGGGATCAGCAGGAGTGTTGCAGTGATCTTGTCATGAGAGGCATTTTCCTTGGAGCCTGAAGGGATAACAAGGGATGAGGGGGGGTGGTGGGAGGAGCTAGGTGACAGCAAGCATGCTACCCTTTTTATAGAATATGAGTGAGAATAAGCAGGGAGTGGGGTGATCTTAAATCAACTGGACTCCAGAAAGAACTAGATGCTTTTTCTGGAATAGGCTGACTTTTTCTGAGACCCACTGGCATATTCAGTGTATACTCTTGACTATGCTTAGGCCTCTTGGAGAAGAGAACTTACTTAATGCTTTTTTTGGGCCTTTTCTGGATATGAGTTCGGATAGCTGTATATCATGCCACAGGTTGTAGGGATGAACAGTTCCCGAAAATAATTGGCTTTCAAGTTGTGAGGTGTAGTTTCTTTACTCCTTTGCTTTTTTGCTAGCTATTTATTTATTTATTTATTTATTTTTTTTTTAAATTTTTTTTTCAACATTTATTTATTTTTGGGGCAGAGAGAGACAGAGCATGAACGGGGGAGGGGCAGAGAGAGAGGGAGACACAGAATCGGAAACAGGCTCCAGGCTCCGAGCCATCAGCCCAGAGCCTGACGCGGGGCTCGAACTCACGGACCGCGAGATCGTGACCTGGCTGAAGTCGGACGCTCAACCGACTGCGCCACCCAGGCGCCCCTATTTATTTATTTATTTAGAGTGAATGGGGAGTGGGGGGAGGGAGGGAAGGGCAGAGAGGGAGAGGGAATTCCAAGCAGGCTCTGCACCATCAGCACAGAGCCTGATGTGGAGCTCAAACTCATGAACCATGAGATCATGACCTGAGCTGGAATCAAAAGTTGGACACTTACCGATTGAGCCACCCAGGTGCCCCTCTACTCCTTTGCTTTTTAAATTTTTTGGATGTGTTTTGTCTTTTTAATAGTCACGTTGTAGGAAACTGGGAATGCTGGTGGGAGGAGCTCATGATTGTGGAAAGGGCTCAGACCAAGCCGGAGCTGGGGCCTCAGTGGGGACTCTGATGAAGGCTGCTGCTCATTTATAAAGGACTCCTGCCTGCTTTTTAAAAAAGCCTCTTCCTTTCTAGGAATGGATGTATATGGCTACCTCCTGGCAAGAGAAGGGCGGCTAGAGGATGTGGAGAACCTTGGCTGCCGCCTTTTTAATATTTCTGATCAGCATGCAGAACCCTGGGTAGTCTCTGGGTATGTTTATGCATTCTTTTTTCTTTCCAGGTTTCAGTACATCCTTTAGGAAATTGTGGTGCCTCCCAAATAGAATATAGGTTGAAAACACAGATTAAGAGATAATCAGACTTAGATTCAGATCAAGGCCTTTGACGTTGGATATATTAGTTACCTCTCTGAATCTCTTTTCTCATTTGGAAAATGAGGATTTTCGTGGGGCAGGTATCAACTGAAACAGTGCATCATGTTTAGCACTGGAAGCCATCAGTGAACAGGCTAGGAGCTGCTGCTTTGTTATTTACCGTGGCAAATAACACGGTATTTGTGTTATATCTAAATATCTCTCACCTGATAACATATCCAGACATCAGGTTCTTTTCCATAATTTTTCCTTCCATATCAAGATTTCTTCTTAAAAATAAATATTTAGGATTGCCTGGGTGGCTCAGTTGGTTGAGCGTCTGACTCTTGATTTAGGCCCGTGACATGATCTCAGAGTGGCGAGATGAAGTCCTGTGTCAGCCTCCACACTCAGTGTGGATCCTGCTTAAGTTATTCTCGCTCTCTTCATAAATAAATACAGAAAATGGGTTTTTTGGTACCCCCTCTCCCCTCAGTATCTTAGGTTAAACCTTTAATGGTTTGCAATAAGGATCAGGTAGCATGCCTTCTGTTTGGTTTTTAGATGAAGTTTCTTTACCATTTTCTTTTAGGTAATTTTTTTTTCTTTCTCTCCAGGTGTCATAGCTTCTATAGCAAACGTTACTCTCGGGCCCTCTATTTAGGAGCCAAGGCCATTCAGCTGAATAGTAATAGCGTTCAAGCTTTGCTACTTAAGGGAGCAGCACTTAGAAACATGGGCAGAGTCCAAGAAGCAATAATCCACTTTCGGGAGGCTATACGGCTTGCACCTTGTCGCTTAGATTGTTATGAAGGTAAGATGAAAGATATAGATAAATAGTGTGTGGCATCAACTTGGATGGAAGGTTTTGCTAGGCCAGCAGTTACCAAACCCTGTTGAATGTTAGAGTTCTCTGCGGGTACATTTTAAAATCCTGATGCCAGGTCACTCCACTGTAGTCTAAATCAGAATATTGTGGTTGTGTGATAGGCACAGTATTTTTTTGATGATCCCAGGTAATGCCAACATGCACGTAAGTTTGGGAATCACTGCATTAGGCATTTATTAGGCATTTTAGAAATCATTTAGGATTTTCACTTGAACTTTAGAATTTTTTTCTCATTCTTTTTTTCTGGTTTTTGGTGAGGGTGTAGTTGGGGTAGGTTTTTTTGTCCTATTTCTGATTGTTTTTCAAACATGGCCCACTCCTTAATGTGAATCTCTGTGCTGGCAGTATGCTAGAGTGCTTGGTTGTGTCTTATTTTTTTAACAGTTGTCTTACCTCAAGCCAGAAATATTACTCATGGGGTAACTCCATATCCATATGACAGTGTCGGTTGTGGGAACTAGTCTGTTCATTGTGACCTCCTGAGTGGGCACGATCAGGGTCAAACTTTGTTTTGTTATGTGCTATTTTAAGTACATGTGAACTGACCCTAGGAGTTAAAAGGAGCTGTGCCAGCTTCAGCAACGTTTGGTGACTCAGTCACAGATGTTAAAATAGATCTTACAAGATGCAGTTCCTCCAAAAGCATATTTTTATAAGAATTTAAAAATAAACCCAGGAGTCTAGGAGTGACTTGTTCTTAACAGGAAGATGAGTTTCAGATTTGAGAAAGAAAATTTGGAAGTTGGGGTAAAGAACAAATCTGCTTAGATATTCAGAGAGCTTTGCCTATTGTGGATTTGTTCTTAAAGTGTCCCCAGTAAATCAGGCTTTTGGTTCCAGTTTAAATTTTTGATCCTGAAACTGTAACTTCCCAAGCCTCTCAGCTGCTTTTGTCATGCTAGTTCCTTTCTGCTGCATGCCTGTTTCACAAGAGCCTAGGAATGCAGTTGAATAATGAACTCCACAATATTTGGACAGAGGATAGTTAGAGTCACTGGGGGTGGAGGACCTTCTGCAGGCCAGCTTCGTGGTCTCCCTGCACTCAAGCTACCATTTGGAGTTTTGAATCAGGATGACATTATGCTGTCCAGTGCTTCTTGCAACCTCCAGCTGAGCTTCCTTTATTGGCAGAGGCACTGGATTAGTGAAGTGCATTCTTTCCATTTCCTTCTGAAGTTCCAGTGGGGGCTTTAGCAGCGAAATGAAACTACTCAATACGTAGTTGAAAGAGCTGTATTCGGAATCCAACACATTGACCCGAAGAGTTAGGTAATTTCTGTTAAGTAACCATAGTGTGTGGTAGAATGTGCATGCACAAATATTATAAATGCTGCTGGGGTGGAGGAGTATGCAGAGAAAATCTGCCAGGGATGTGTGGGTTTGGAGTTTAAGCTGTTTTTCTGTTTTGATGAGTGCTTTGTGTCAAAAAGTACTTCCTCTGTTCTCAAGTTCTTGGCAAGAAGAGTTGAGAGTTGACTCTGCTTGAAGTGTCCCCATAGGGCATCTTGTTGTGGGTATAAGAGGCAAGAGCTGCCAGTCTTGATTTGATGTATTTGGCCCATCTGATTAAGTATTTTCCATCTAGGTTAGGGAAACGTTCAGCAAATGTCTTTTGAGATAGCTTTTATGTTTTAAATGAAAAGTTGTCCTTCTCTTTAGGTTGCTCCCTAAGTCTGTTAGTAGAAAACTACACCAAACTAGTAGTTTTGTAGAACTGGATTTCACTTGGAACTTAGGAGCTCTTCCATGTAAGCCTAGGACTAAAGGTGACTGAAGACAGCTGGAAATCAATAGTTCATTAAGGGGCAGTAGAACCTTGGGTTTTGTTGTCAGCACCATCTCTGTTTCAAGTAATGATTAGGGTCACGTTTGTTTCTCTATCATTCAGCTGGGCTGCCTACATGCTTCAGTTTACTTATGTGTGTTTCCTTCGCTAACTAAAGGTGCCTTTGCAGTGCATGCAGCCTTTTTCCGCATCCCTCAAGTGCTCTGGGGAAGAGCACTTATTCCATCTAGACTACTCTCCAGTCTGATCTCATCATCAGAGTTTTCCCCTGGCCTGCCCTTTGTCTGAAACTTTGAAGGTTTACAATCTGGAAGGCTGTTAGAGTGGAAGCATTGCTTGGAATGGTAATGTGGTTGAGCTTTCTGTGTTTTATTTTTTCAGGTCTCATTGAATGTTACTTAGCTTCCAACAGTATTCGTGAAGCAATGGTAATGGCTAACAACGTTTACAAAACTCTAGGAGCAAATGCACAGACCCTTACCCTTTTAGCCACTGTTTGTCTTGAAGACCCAGTGACACAGGAGAAAGCCAAAACTTTATTAGATAAAGCCCTGACCCAAAGGCCGGATTACATTAAGGCTGTGGTGAAAAAAGCAGAACTACTTAGTAAGTGTATCTTATTTACTTCCCTTTTGTCGTTAATTATATAAAACCTGATCTCATTGGATTTCCTGGTCCCAGCTGGTTACAGATGACCAGTCAGGTGTGTGCCTTTTTACAGTAGGTTTGAGTCCATACAACCAAATGTAGCTGGCTTAAACCGGCCTGGATTGGCAGTGACTGACTTTTTGAGTGGCTCAAACCAGCTATACTTGGTTGGTACCTGTTCAGCTTACTTTGATCTGGTTTTGGTTGTCCTGAACTAGTTTGGGCTGAATATAACTGGTTTTAGCCAGCTTGAACTGTTTTCACCCATCTGGATTTGCTATGACTTCCTTTTAGCTTTGGTTGTTTTAGTCCTAATTTATGATAAAGTCCTGGGTTTGGGCTAGTTTGGCAAATAAAATGCATTTTGGCTTTTTATTTGAACTTAGGTTAAGAGTATATTTTTCAAAATCAGAACTCAGGCTGTACATTTCCTACTAGAAGAGGAATTCGTATGAGCTTGTTCTTATTTCCTGCCACACCACTGTTCTCTTAAGGACATCTACAGATAGATTGTTGGATTATAATCATTGTTGTGGTTTTGTGTATATGATTTGAGATGGGAGTATATTTTCAAAACGTTGTGTAAGTAGGAAAATGAGGGTCTTTTTCTTTTCAGGCAGAGAACAGAAATATGAAGATGGAATTGCTTTGCTGAGGAATGCACTAGCTAATCAGAGTGACTGTGTCCTGCATCGGATCCTAGGAGATTTCCTTGTAGCTGTCAATGAGTATCAGGAAGCAATGGACCAATATAGTATAGCACTAAGGTAGGCACTTAGCCTCCCATGGGGGGGAAGGTCAATGAGGGGTAGAAGAGGCAGGGAACTATGTAACAGGAGTTCTGGAAACACACACACTTTTGTGCCCATGGTTGAAAACAGAGTAATGATAGTAATGGTAGAAGAGTTATTTGTGAGTTCATAACTTCTAAAAAAAAAAAATAATTTCATTAAGTATATTAGCAACATTAAAGAACTGTTTCACTCCTAACCAGCCCACACCACTATATCATCAGTTTTCATTTGTGTAGATCATCTTCCTGGCCTCACCCATGCATAAACGTATTTTTATAGGGTATATGTAGTTATATATTTTATATTCTGCTTTTTCAAATCAAAGTATTGTAAGTACTTTCCCATGTTTCTATCTACTGTAGTAGTTAAGAACTTAAGCTCTGAAGTTTGAATACTACCTTCACAACACCTGTTATATTGGGCAAGTTACTAACAGATTTCCTTGTCTATATCTACCTTATTAGGTATTAAATGATTAAATGAGGATTAAATTATTATTCCATGTAAAGCTCTTAGTGCTGTGCCTGGTACATAGTAAATACTAAATAAATAGTGGTATTCTTACTGTTTAACATAGAAGTGATTTCTTTGAGGGTTGTCTCCGTGTCTATAAAGTTATGGTGAAGGCCTGTCTTTAATTGAGTCTGATCACATCCATTTACTTGTTCAGCAGTTGAGCACCATGCTTGTGCCTGGCATCTCAGTAACCACTGGGTATGCTGTGATTCCGGGAGCTCTCGGTCTCAGGCGTGCAGACTGATCGATGCCACGTGCTAAGTGCTTTCATAGCAGTCTCTAGAAGGCAAGGTGGGAGCCCATAGGGCTGGGAGCCCTGGGTGTGGGTGAGAGCTGTATGGAAGTTTTCAGGGAAGAGGTAACAAATCAATCTACAGTTATGTAAGTAGGAACAGGACTCATTAGAGGTGGGATTTGCTAGAGATTGGACACCCACTGGCCTTGATGGTAACCACAAAGGCAAGAGGAAGAATTGCTTAGAAGTCAAATAAATGTTCTGGAGCCTCTGAACTTTGGGGGTTTGGGCATGTGTAATGACTCAGCTGCTAAACTCGAATGCTTGGGTAGGGGGGTAGCTTTGGGTCCTGGGGTCTAACTTAGGAGTTGACAAATCTGTTCCATGGTAAGCATGATTTGATTGACTACTGAAATGCTGATATGGTTAATTATGTCAGAAGAATGTGAAACACCTTAACTCACAGAAAAATAAGTATTATTTTGTAACTTTGTAGCCTAAAAATCTGATACTGTTAAGAAATTACATATGAATTTTTCTGTTAATGGTGGTTTGCTGCTTTTTCATTTGTGTTATCTAGTATCTTCCTCTAGCAGAATGCTGGGCTAATAATGTTTAAGAAATACGTGGAGAAAAACTCAAATTAAGAATTCTAAAAATTAGGACAAGACGCCTTTTTTCACTTCTAGTGGTGGACTCCCTCGATCCTGCCTGTGGAACCACAGTTGTTTGGAGAGGCCAGGCATTAGCAGTTTCTCTGTGACTGGGTGGTCATTTCACTGCCGTGCCAGGGAGATGACGCATCAGCCAGCAAGAAGCAAGGCAGAGATTCAGGCCTCTCCTTTGTTTTGTTGTCCCCTAGTTTGGACCCCAATGACCAGAAGTCTCTAGAGGGGATGCAGAAGATGGAGAAGGAGGAGAGTCCCACGGATGCCACTCAGGAGGAGGATGTGGACGACATGGAAGGGAGTGGGGAAGAAGGGGACCTGGAGGGCAGCGACAGTGAGGCGGCCCAGTGGGCTGACCAGGAGCAGTGGTTCGGCATGCAGTGAGGCAGGCGGCAGCTCTGTGGCCACACTGGCCTGCCCTGCTCTGAGCACTTCCGTGGACTGAAGGAGCCCGGAGGAGCCCGCTCTCTGGGAGGACATTGATTCCGCATGTAATTGCAGCAGGGGTCTCTGCCCCTCGCTCCGTATTTCTAGTAGTGAATTCATTTTTAAAAACTGAGCCTGACCAACCTTCCATCTATCTCTGTCCTCCCCTGCTCCAGCCAGGGAGGATCGAGTGAGCTCTCTGGGAGGCCTGCAGATGTGCCAGGGCTTCTGGGACAGAGTGCTTTTTATATAACTAATTTCTAAATCTGAAAGCTTGAGGAATAGACAGTGTTTTGTCTGTGACATTGTGGGTGAGTTTAAAGGAGTGACTTGTCACCCAGAGCAAAAGCGTCCTCTCCCATGTCAGACAGCAGCATGGGCTGGCCCTTTCAGAGAGGGTTTCCTGTCCCGGAAATCATCATCCTGAGCTGTCCAAACTTCCCTAGTAACCTTGCTTCCTTCTGCAATGTTAGTAATGCCTTAAGCTGACAGTTGCTATTTTGCAGAACAATTTTCCTATTTGCTAATCTGGTAACTTGCCTATGAGCCTGGGCCGGATCTGAGAAACAGGTGTGACCTAGAGCATGACCAGAGGCACACCTGGGGTAATTAACTAATAAAACTGTTTTTTGTACAGTAATGGTGTTGGGTTGATCAGAATGGAAGCCCTTTATAGATTTCTTACTTTTTTTGGTCTCTCACGATGCATTGATTCAGCCCCAGAATTATTTGCCATGAATACACTCCCTTTCTTCCCAGAGTTTTGGGAGCCAGGAGGATTGGTAACTTCGGGTAACATTGAGCTAATTCATCTATTTGGATTTTTGATTGGTTAAATTCCCCCGGGGGGTGAGTCTTTGGCCTGTTTTAGACTGGTTCCTCCCAGTTCTGTCAGAGGCACTAAAGTCTGTGTATGGTTTCAGCATTCTGTCACCGGGTCAGCAGGGGGCGCGTTCCCTGGGCTTGGTGCTGGGAGAGTTCGCCTACCGTCTTCCCCTTGTTTCTTCAGATGCAGTGCTTTTCACTATATCCTTAACTTGGAGGCGAAGGTGGGGAGAATGGCACAGCTAACCCCAAATTCTCACTAAAACAAAATTATTCAAAGGTGGTACAATAGGTGATTTTGATGTAAATGGAAAGTTCTGTCTTAAAGTGTAAAAACCATGGACGTGTACGGTAGTTTAGGAGCTCAGAACATCTGATAACTATAAGGGCAAAAAAAGTTACTGTTCAAGTATATTTCAGTATGAGACTTAAAGCCTGGGCAGCACCATTTGATCAAGCAGTTTCTAAAGAGCCCAGCCAGCAGTTGGAGTCGTTCCAGGTGAGGATACTGCCCCGAGAAGGCACTGCGTACTGGCCTCAGTGCTTGCTCTGGATGTAGCTTCTTGGCCTTCGCCTTGCCTCCTAGCAGCTGTTAACCAGTCTGTGCGTTGGAAGAAAAGGTGAAACATCTTTGCCATTCCCCTGGCTAGGGGAAGAAGCCTGGCCACATCCAGCCTACATGTTTCTGCATGTCAGGCTTGTCACTGTTCCCTCTGAGGTTCCCATGGGGTCAGGATGTGCCTCAGATGTGCAGGCCCTGCACATTACCTTCTGTCAGCCCCAGCATGTTCCTCTCCCCTTTCCTGAGCTGGCCCTCAGCTCTTCTAGGAGCCCCTGGATCATCCCCAGCACCTCCATCCCACCAACACCCTGGGCTGGATCCCTCCAATCCTTCCCAACTACAGCTCCAGCAGTTCTACCCGGACCGTGTCAGTGTCACAACCAGGTTAGAAGAGGCGACTGAAGCTACATTTTGAGAGCACCTGATGTGGGATTGGTTCACATCAAAGAATGGGAGGAGTGTGACTTGAAGATCTCATCTGGCATTGCTGCTGTCACTTGGTTTCACAAAAAAATCTTATGAGGGCAGGGAGCTCCATGAAGCAGGGACAGAATCAGGCTGCCCAGCGCTCTGGTTGTCCCATTGAGCCACCTTCCAGGAGATGAAGCATCTTGACAAGTGATGGCCTCCCAAGTGCTTACAGTCACCAGAGATATTCTGGTGTCTGGAGTTTCACACACCATTATGAGGAGAGGGATGTTTTAACTGATCCTGTCTTTTACCCCAACCACTTGCAGCTGGATCATAGCACTGGTTTGGAGTAAGGCTACATTCTAAAAGTCCTTGCTGTCCCGCTGTCAGAGCTGCAGGTCAGGAGCCAAGTAGTTAGGTTCCTTGGTGTGGGCTCCCGTATCTTCTGGGCTGAGGACTCAATAAGCCCACAAGGAGTGGAGTACGGTGCCCATTGTGTATCACGTTATCATTACTAGGGTAAATGCCAGACTGCCTGTCTTCCCCTCAGGAATTGGGGGCTGGTGGGATCACTCCAAAGCCTTCTTGCCTTTTTCTCCTGGAGGTCCCTCAGCTAAGTGGAGAGGCAGGGTCCTAAGGAAGGGTGCTCCCTGCCCTCTGGCTTGGGTTCTCACACTCTGAACTCTTGCTATGTGCCAGGGACCTGGCAGATCTGGTTAATGTCAGGAGCTTCTCAGGAGCTCTCCTTGCCAGCCTTAGTTTGGGAGCCACACTCCTGCCAATGAGTTCTTCCTCGGAATGAGAACGGCTTTTACCCAAATCTGTTAATTCTCAAATTTGAACATACTTCTCAGTGATGCAGATTACCAGGCACAGCATCAAACCTGAATCCAATGCCAGGGCCTGGGCCCAGGAGTCTGCATCTTCAATCATTCCCACCTTGATTTGCTATTCTGATGCAGGTGTTCCATGGTCCAAATGTTGAGAAACTGGGAGTGGGGGTTTGAGGGTCCCAGAAGCTGTAGGCTTAACCTCAGAAGACCTGTGGGGACCTCACCATACAACTGCCTGGCCAGGTCTTTGGAGGCCGTGCCTAGACCAGGGCTGCTTGGCCATCCCTGAGGTCACAGGCACTGCCTGCTGCGTGGTGACTGCATTCTCTGTTGGCTACAGACAGCCCTGACTCAACAAGCACCTCACCGTGTCCTCTGGGGACCATGGCCATAGCCAGGCCAGCCAGGGATCCCTGGCACTTGGAGGGCCCATTGAGGTAAGTGCCTCACTAAGGTTTTCCACTTCTCTCTGGAGCCTCCCTGCCCAGGGGCAGTGGATGGTGGGGCGGGGTGCGTGCGTGCGTGCGTGTGCATGTGTGTGTGCGTGTGCACGCGCACACCAGCTCCCACATTCCCTCTTGGGGCACAAAACGGCAGGCTTCTGTTGTCTGGATGTTTCTGAGCTGCTCGGGCTGCACCACTAGATGTGTGGGGTTTTTCCAGATTGCTGTGGAAGAAGTCAGTTGTTGGCAGCACAGAACATGTCACTTATTTCACAAACCACACAGTATCAGCAACACCAGGAATAAGCCAGAAGCCTACAAGTTGGTCTGCTTAGCAGCCATTAAAAGAAAACAGTTTAAAAATAAGAGTACCCTCATGCATTGCTAGTGAGAAAGTAAAATGATACAGCCACTGTGGAACACAGTCTGGCAGTTCTTCAAAAGTTTAAACAATTACCATATGATCCAGCAATTCCACTTCTGGGTATGTAGCCAAAAGAAGCAGGATCTTCAACAGATACTTGCACACCCAAGGATTCACAACGTTATTCACAACGTTATTCACAATGGCCGAAAGGTGGAAATAACCCAAGTGTGTTTTGTTAGATGAGTGGATAAACAAAATGCAGTATATATATGCAGTGGAATGTGATTCAGCCTTAGGAAGGAAATCCTATCACATGGTACAACATGGATGAACCTTGAGGACATGCTAAGCAAAACAAGCCACTTACAAAAGGACAAATGCTATTAATTCCACTTAAGATCCCTGGAGGAGCAAAATTCATAGAGACGAAGTAGAATGTTGGTTACCAGGGACTGGAAGGAGGAGGGGGAATAGGGAATTCGTGTTTACCAGGGAGAGGTTTCCATTTAGAATGCTGAAAAAGGTTCTGGAGATAGGTGGTGCTGATGGTTGCACAATATGAATGAATGTACTTGATGCCACCAAACTGAAAAATGGTTAAGATGGTAAGTTTTATTTATATATATTTAGAGAGAGTTATGTACATATATAACTATATATATAACTATATATAGTTTTATATATATATATATAACTATAAATATATAACTATATATATATAGTTATATATATATATATAGTTATATATGTACTTTTATGTGTATACGTATACAACTAACAGCCAGTAAAGAAACGGCCTGTAGCCTGTCATCTAGATGGCCCATTAACACATGTTTGTAGTTATATGTGTTATGTAAATGTACACATGATTTAAAAAGTTCAAAGGTATAAAATTAAAAATCTACTCACTTTCCTATCTCTACTGAATCCCAGTCTCTCTATAAATGTTCTAGTACTACCTTAGGAAAATAGTTTTGAGCTTTTACTTAATGGTCTGTGTATATGAAAGTTACACTGAAGCGGTCATGCTGTCCCTCCTGAGAAATTCCTGCCATTTGTATCTGTGTGCTCTTCCTTGTTTGACAGTTCCACAGAATTTCATTCTGCGGATGGAACAGTTTCTGTAATCCTTCTGCTCTTGGTGGACACTTGTTTCCAGTTCTGTATATAATTCTAGTCTGCACTGTTGTGAACGTGCTTTGGTGTAATATTCCAAAGACACACAGGTCAAATTCTTTGTAATTTCTGGGTCTCTGGGTCTCGTGCATTTAAGGCTTTGATGGATGTTGTCAGATTGCTCTCCAGTAGGTGGGGTGTTTGTTTCCTGCATACTCACCAGTACCAGTGTCAAGTGGCTTTTTTTCTTTTACCAGTCTTAGATGTGATACATACTCCCATCATTTTTACTTGTTTGAACTGTATTTGAGTGATCATCTGGACCAGGCCACAAGGCAAGCCCTTTGCTTATGTTAGGACATCTTAACATTATGCCCCTGAGGTATAAAGAGAAAATGGAC